TCACGGTTATCGCGGAAACCACGCCGATTTTGAAGAATTTGTACGTGGGATATGAGGAGAATAACGAGGACGCCATGATTTGTCCGGGTGCTATTCCCTACCAACTCCGGTGGGTATTGTATTATACTGTACCATAATTTAGTGAAGTTTAAAAAACGAAAATAAAGACGGTGATCAAATGAGACCTGAGTGTCACCTATATATGACCTGGGGAGTTTTTGAGTTATAGAGGTTTGAGTTACAGAACCTAGCATTTTTGTTGTGTGAGAAACATTGAAGAATTGCGCATAATTGTAAATGGTGATATTCTGGGCCTTAAATTGCTTCATAAATGAGTTGACAGGATGTTGAACTTATTGGAGGCAGGGGTTCATTATTTTCTCAATTTAGTCTTTCTCCTCGTTGAAAAAACCCTAAATTTGGGATTTTATTGCTCTTTCCCTGTGTCAAGGAAATAATAGCCCTATAAGATCAAAATTCGTTTTCGGAGGTTTGAGAGGAAAGCCCTTGAGTTTGGGAGTTTTTAAAGCATTTTTAAGGGAATTCAGATAGGGAATCGGAAAACAAAATTTGACTCAGAAAGGCATTTGACTTGACGTTCAACTGTACTTTGGGATTATCAAACTTAATCCATCAGAGGTCAGAAATAAAAAAAAAGAAAACACTCATAAAGTGTTTCTTACATCCCAGGCTTTGGCATTATGCAGTATTTGTTTATAGATTATCATGGCATTTTTAGATTTCCATCAACCCGATAATTATTTTAATAATTATATTGCTGTGTTCTTTTTCAATTTTATTTATAGATATGTCATGATGCTGAAAGGAAACAATTTGGAGAGCAAAAACGACCACCATGCTCTGGGAGCGTTGTACATGAAAAAGAAGTTTGACTCGATGATTTTCAAACTCGACTCCTTCGAACGTCCCAGAAACAGCAGAATGCCAGTCGTTTGGAGGGATTTCATGCATCGTTTGCACATGATGAGAACACATCCAGTGATCTTAGACTGGCGCATACCTGTCTTAAGGGACGCTATGTTTGAATTTATCAATTGCAACGACGTCACGCCTGATATGAAAGTTGAATC